TTGCCACCAGAAGTTGTGGATGCTCCAACACTAGAAGTTTTTAAGAAGAGATTAGATAACCATTTGTCTGAGTTGGTGTAGGGTAGGGGTCTACAATACTCAAAAGAGCCATTTGGACCCATTGCCCACAGAAAAGAAAACACTGGGAGCCACAAAACCCTTCCCGTGCCTGACTATTTCTTGAGCGGCCACAAAACTAGCCTATGTAGTTGAATTAAACTTTGTTTTCTTCTGAAACTTTTCTTTTCTTGGATTTATCCATGGTTGGCCTACCGGGGGATTGAAAAGCTCAATGAATTGCGTGCTGGTGGGTGTCGCACATTGGCAGTTGTGACTTATATTTTGAGTGACAGGGAGCCGCAGCAGAGGGGTGAAAGAGCCACCTGCGGCCCCAGAGCCGCAGGTTGCTGACCCCTAGTGTAGGGTTTTCTGCCTAAGCAGGGGGTTGGACTAGAAGACCTCCAAGGTCCCTTCCAACTCTGTTATCCTATTCTGTTCCGTTCCGCTCCGCTCCGCTCCACCCCACCCCACCCTATTCCTATTCCTATTCCTATTCCTATTCCTATTCCTATTTGCCAAGAAAACCCAGGAGAAAATGTCTGTAGGGCCACAAATCCCCCAGGATGCTTGTGGGGTACGGTGTTGCTCCCAGAGAAAAGGCCGGTTCTAACTTCGATCAACTGCTGCTCATTAGGGTCCCTATCAATGCTGGGTTGTGTTGTTTCCTGTTCAGGCTAGGATTGCTGGAAACCGCCTTTCTTTGGGGAAACGAGACGCATGAGTGCAGCTGATAGAAGCCCCCCCCCTTGGCTTCCTCCCGCTGTCATGCTTAACCCTGGGATGGGGAGGCTGACTTCTGAACCGAAATATTTGACCAGGGAGGCCTCTGAGCGCTTTTCCCAGAACCGTTTCGGATGCCAGGATTCCAGACAAATCTTTCTCAAACCCCGCTTGGAGGTCCCGGAAATTGAATTTGGCTTCTGGCCCACAAGAGCCTCTTTTCAGTCTCTCTGGTCAGCCATGGCGGTTCCTCCTCAGCCGGGGAGATTGCCTCCGTTTCTGGCTAAAGGTCCTCCAAAGAACGGCCATAATTTTCACGAACGAAAGCAGATAGACGGTACGTGTCCCAGGGTCATGTTGCAGGATCCAGTCGGTCACTGGGACCGGAGGTTTATTCGTCCAAACTTTTGGACTTCTCCATTTTGGGGGGAGAGAGAGAGAGAGAGGTTTTTGGAGGACGGGATCCAGCACGAGTCCAGAAGCTCGGAAGACTGAACCTCTGCTCTTGTGACCGACCGACCAACCCAGATTGGATCCTGCACCATAATCTTCGTCACGGTTGCAGCTGTGAACACACCTGGCTCTCTAGAGCAGGGGTCTCCAACCTTGGCAACTTTAAGGCTGGCGAACTTCAACTCCCAGAATTCCCCAGCCAGCAAAGCTTGAATTAACTCACAAATAAACCCAAAAGCAAAGCTGGCTAGGGAATTCTGGGAGTTGAAGTTCACCAGCCTTTAAGTTGCCAAGGTTGGAGACCCCTGCTCTAGAGAGCTGGAATGATGGATGTTGTAGTCCTGATACTCACCTTGGTTTAAAGAATCACTTTCCATGATCTGCTATGTCCACTCCTCGCCTCTCCCTTATATTAAAAAAAAAAAAAAAGACAAAATATGGCTTAGCTTTTGAGTTGTCCGTCCATGGCTCCCCCAGTTACTCGTTACAGCTGCTGATGCCCCTTTTCAAACGGTCACTGAGTGAAGTGTTGTGAGCCGAGGATTACCCGTATGATTAAAAGACACTGAAGGAGAAACGATCCCAACAGGTAGATTAACCCGACTCTCCTCCTGCAGAGCGATGGCTGTGGTTTAAAGGAGGTTTGTTGTTAGATCCTGGTTTAATTCTGTTTTCCAAGAAAATGCCTATAAATTCTTGGGGGCCAAAGACAATCAGCCGGGGCTGCTGACACATTTCGCTGAGCAGGCCTGGAAAACAGTCTCTCCCGGCGCCCAAGAGTAAACTTGAGTGCATTTTTGGCTTCTTGGACATCCTGTTTCCTGTGCCGCGATGCTGGGTCGCTCGGAGGTTGGAGGTGGTCTGGGTGTAAGGGTGGTGGTCTTTGGCCGGTCTCTCTGAGGATCCCCCTTCCATTGGGGAGCCCAGGGGGGTCCCCCGGCTCTTGGCTCTCCCTTGGGCTGCAAGGGGTGGTGGTGGCAGAGGGGGATGAGGGACGAGGGAGTCCCACACATTGGGGCCTGAGAAGGTTTCGTTTATCAGCTCTGGCTGGGGAGACATTGCGACACTCGGGCTAGGAATGAGGTGGGGGGGGGTTGCGATCCCCAAATAAATTGGAAATGGTTAACTTTATGCAGGCCAGTCGTTGAAGTCCCTTTGCTCCTTTGCCCGCTTCTTCGAAAGCCCAGGCTGGAAAGAAGATAATGGATGCCCAATTTCCTTTTGTGCCTCTGACTCGTCTGACTCTTCCCGGGGCTTCGCTTCAGTCGGTCGCCCCGCTTCTTCCCCTTGGCGGAGGAGCCGCCTCTTCCCTCCCTGGCCGTTGGGGCTGTTTTGTTTGCCGTCGGGATGTTTTGGGATGTTTGCGCACCCAAAGGACGCTCTGTTCCCTTTTGCAGGGCATCTGTTCAGGCTGCAGGCCGGCCTCTTTATCTCTCGCCACCAAACACGGCAGCTCCCGAGTTTTCGGTGGCTTTGTGGCTCGGGATTCCGATTGGAGGAGCAACTGCAAAAGCCCCAGGGCTCTTATGGGGCCCAGGGAAATTTTTTCTTTTTTTCTTTTCTTTTCTTTTCCTTTCTTTTCTTTTTCTCCATCTCTCCTTCCTTCCTTCCTTCCTTCCTTCCTTCCTTCCTTCCTTCTTTCTTTCCTTCTTTCTTTCTTTCTCTAACTCTCTTTCTCTCCCTCTCCCTTCCTTCCTTCCTCTTTCTTCTTTCTTTCTCTTTTTCTCCCTTCCTTCTTTCCTTTCTCTTTCTTCTTTCTCTCTCTCTCTTCCTTCCTTTTTTTCTTTCTCTAATTCTTTCTTTCTCTCTCTCTCTCCCATCCTTCCTTCCTTTCTCTTTCTTCTTTCTCTCTCTCTCTCTTTCTCTCCCTTTTCCTTCCTGCCTTCCTTCCTTCCTTCTCTACTATTCGAGGATTCTTTTCTCTATTTTTGAACTGAAATGTAAATTTGGGTAGCACACCCAAGAGTTTAGGGTTGAAGGTTAGGGTTAGGGTATAGAATATACCTCTGAATGAACACAGCTCTTTACGTGCAAATAGAAAAAAGCGCATAAGGAAAAGAGCACCAAGAGAGTTAGGTATTTCTTCCCTGAGGCATTAGCTTTCTACTTGCAGGGATTAAAACCAAATCAAAAAGTTTTGGCCATACTTGTATTCAGATGGGCCCTCCTGAACTTGGGGGGAAAAATGTTTGCAGGGATCTTTGGAAGAGATGATTTTTCCGGGGCCTGCTTGTCCGCTGGGCTTCCCAACTCAGCTGCACACAGGATCCTTAAATATGGCCTCATCCTGTTTGGATTTCACATCTTTTTTTCCTTCACGATAAAAGACATTTTTCAGACCAGATTTTCCAGTAAGAAAATTTGCCAAGCCTGTTGGAAGCCAACAAAGAGAAACAAACCCGGAGTGGATATAAATTGCAAAACGGAAGAAGAAGCTTTCCTTGCCTTCCCCACTGAAGCTGTTTCCCTGCCCCCCCCCCCCCCCGCCTGATTAATCTGGACCCTCCCCCCCCCCCCAGTCCATTTCCCCCCAGCTGTTCTCGCACTTGGCTCCAAACTGCAAACCGGCTGTGACTCATGGGCCCCAGGAGGAGGCGAAACCCGGAACGGACGTTGCCTGACCCAGACAGGGAGCAGAAGTGGCTGAGACCCAGAGAGATGGGGGTGGAATCGGATATTTGAGGAGCCCCCCTCCCCCCCTTTTAGGGATTGAAGGAACTTGGCTGCACCCCTCCTCTCCAGCCCAGCATGGCTGAGGGTCCCAAAAGCTGAGAATTGAACCGATCGGATCCTGCACATTATCAATAGATCTATTTTAGCAGTTTTGCTTTCCTGCATGGTGGAAACCCCCCTCCCCCCACCCCTTGGTGGGTCTTCCAGTGAGAGGGCAGAAAAGGCAGTGCAGGGGCTGGATTCCCAAAGGGGAAATCGAGGCAGGCCGAGGGGCTGTTGATAGGACTGGAATTTGGGATTTGGCCTTAGATGCCCTCTTGGCCGGATGTCCTGGGAATCTCCCGGATACGGTCAGGCTCGGATTCTCAACCTGCCCAGTTTTACCAGTTCAGCCCTGCCCTGGGCCAGTTCTGAAGCTCGTCTTAAGCAGAGGCAACAACAGGTGAACAAACGATAAAAGCAGACCTGCCCTCAGAGCAGGGAGGGGGAAAAAAAAGAGCTTAAAAAGGGCTTTTAAGCATCTGCGGTGTCTTTCTTTGTGTTGACAGAAAGGCTTAGGAAGGAATTTGATGCCGGACGTCGTTGCTCAAGAGCGATTTTTTCCAGCCCTGGTTTTAATCTGGGCTTCCCGATGGCCCTTGCTCTCCCCTCGTTCTCCTTTTGGGGGGGCAAGACACGGGTCTCCCTCCTCTTCTTCGGGGGGAGGGGGGAGAGGGAAGCAGGGATTTGGCCCTCCCTCCCTGAGGGATTTCGCAGACGTTGGAATCCAAAGAGTTTCCTGCCGCTTTGACATGAAGTTGAACTCCGAGGAAAGCTTCTCCCTGCCCAGATAAGGCTGTGCCAGGATGCAGCCCATGTGTGTGTGTGAGAGAGAGAGAGAGTGGGGGGGGAGAGATTGGGGGTCCCGCTTGCATCTCCTGCTCTGATACCGCCAACCCCGGCCCAGGCTTGCTCCGTATCCTCTCCCGGCAGCTGGTTCAATGCCCCTCGGAGCCAAGAACAGCGTGCCAGGACTCTCGGTTGCAGAAACAGACACAGAGCCAGGCCTCCCGATGGCCCGTGTCTCACTCTGGCTTGTCCTTCTCTTTCGGCAGAGCTCAAGGCCCAAACTGCGCTCCCCTTGCGTGGCCATCCAAGAGACCCGGGCCTGCACTCGGCTGGAGATGCCCGACCACGTGCACACTTTTGTGGTCAAGGTGAGAGGCTTCCTTCCCCCATGGCTACAAGCAGGGAGCAGGTGAGGTTTTCTCTCCACCTGGCGCTCTGGGACCTTCCTAGATGGCTGTGCTCGGGGAGAGGATTTCTCTCCAGAAAGCAGAGGGGGCTGCTGCAATGCAGGTGGGGAGCCGTGAACCCCAGAAATAGCAGAGGTCATGAGGTGGGCTGGAGGGGGACTGCCTGCAACCCTCTCCCCCCCCCCCCCAGAGATGCTTTTCCCAACTCAAGTGGCCCTCACCTGCCTGGCTGAAAACACAGATTTTTCACTTAAGAGAGCTGAAATGTGCTTCTGGGATTAGAGGAGACCCTCCCCCCCTGAGAAGTCATCCATGCCACCCACCCCATTTTATCTGGAAAGGGTTTATTTATAATTTATTTATAATGCAATTTATATGCCGCCCTATCTCCAAGGACTCAGGGCGGCTCGCAACGATAAAAATGCACAGTTGCTCATTAAAAGACAATATAAAATTAAAATTCCAATTTAAAATTCATTAAGAAATCCCCCATCAGGGTTGCCTCTGCGGTGGGATTAATGCCTCACTTTTGCCCCCAAATCCCTGCCCCATAGGTAAATGCGACCACCGAAGTAATATTCCAGGCTGGAGACGAACAGCAATTAGCCGCTTGGATAGCGGAGATTCAGCAGTGCCTCCCCAGGTGAGTCGTGCACGGCACCTGCGGCTTTGAAAAATGCAGTTTTGGGGGGCAGGAGCAAAAGGTTGATGCGGCCTTCCCAAGAGGTGAGGCTTTTGAGAACTGCTCTCGGAATAAACCACATCCATTTTTATTTTCTGTTCAAGGCCACAACTGGCTGTAGAAGTGAGGTGTTCGGGGCGCCGGGGCTTCGTTTTGTAGCTGGGGAATTCTGGGAGTTGAAGTCCCGATTTCTCAACGTGGGCCGAGGTTAAGAAACCCTGGCTGAAGGACGGATAGAAGGAAATGGCTGTAGCTCAGGATTGAACTTGTGGGGTCCTTGGTGCTCTCTTGAGTTTTGGTCAGCACTGATAGCGTTACCCAGTTGGGTCATAAAACGTCTGCAAGAAAACTGCCAAGCTCAGACAGCACCATGGACGCCATCCTCCTCCTCCTCCTCCTCCAATCCCTCTTTCTCCTAGCACTGATGATGGTCCCTAGTTTGGCAGTGAAAGGCCTGCAAGAAAACAGCCAAGGCCAGAGAGCATCCAGGATTCACCTGGCTTTAAGAACTTTGCTCACCTGGCTTTGGCTCTTCCCTAGGAGAGCTCCAGCATTTCTGCTGTATTGATAGCGCTGTGGGGCCTCTATCCAGACCCCAGCAAAGATGGGCGGGAGCACCGTTAAACCTGCTTTCGCCCAGGTGAGATCTAGGATTCTCAGCTGCTACGAAATCTCGCCCTCCGCCCGTCCTCCTTGCTCCCCACCTGCCTGTTTTCATCCGTCTCCCTCCCTCCCTCTCTCTTCGTTTCCAGATCGGAAGGAGGCAACCTCGAGAGTAGCCCAGATCCTCATTCGGAGGCCGGCACCCCCAGCCCTGCCAACAGCAGCACCGACTCCCTGCACCAAGGTGCCTGGTGGCCATGGGGGATGGTGTCAGTGGGTGGGTGGGGGCGGGGCAGGTGGGGGCAGAATGCAAAGGACTTCCTAGCCCCGATGACCCCGGGGGGGGGAGGGAGGGGAGGTTGGGACGGGCCTAGGAAAGAGACTTGGGTGAATCTGAAGCCTTCCTTGGGTGGGTTTCCATTCCTCTCGTTCAGTTGACTGAGAATCAAATGGTAAGGATTATGTTTGGAGTGGGGGGCTCTTGCCCCACCAGCTGGTGGGATCTCTCTTGATCCCCAGCAAGGCTTTGTTTATTGCCTGAAATACAAAATGTAAAATCTCATGTTTCTCAACTTTGGGAATTAGAAGCTGTGTGGACTTCAACTCCCAGAATTCCCTAGGCTGGCTGGGGAATTCTGGGAGTTGAAGTCCACACAGCTTCTAGTGCCCAAGGTTGAGAAAGCACAAGATTTAGAATAGAAATTAGAATAAAATTAGAATAGAATAGAATAGAATAGAAATTAGAATAGAATAGAAATTAGAATAGAATAGAATAGGAGGAGGAAAGAAGGAAGGAGAATAGAATAGAATAGAATAGAATAGAATAGAATAGAAATTAGAATAGAAATTAGAATAGAATAGAAGGAGGAGGAGGAAAGAAGGAAGGAGAATAGAATAGAATAGAATAGAATAGAATAATAGAATAGAATAGAATAGAATAGAAATTAGAATAGAATAGAAGGAGGAGGAGGAAAGAAGGAAGGAGAATAGAATAGAATAGAATAGAATAGAATAGAAATTAGAATAGAAATTAGAATAGAATAGAAGGAGGAGGAGGAAAGAAGGAAGGAGAATAGAATAGAATAGAATAGAATAATAGAATAGAATAGAATAGAATAGAAATTAGAATAGAATAGAATAGGAGGAGGAAAGAAGGAAGGAGAATAGAATAGAATAGAATAGAATAGAATAGAATAGAATAGAATAGAATAGAATAGAATAGGATTGGCCAAGTGTGATTGGACACACAAGGAATTTGCCTTTGGTGCATACGTTCTCTGTACATAAAGAAAAATAAAATACATTCATCAAGAATAAAAAGATACAACACTTAGTGATAGCCAAAGTTACTAATAAGGTATGAAATTGTACTAGGAAACAAATAAAAACAATATGAAGATACAAGCAACATGGATATAGTCATAGGTGGGAAGACGAATAATAGTAACGCAGCCTTAGTAAATTATTTGACAGTGTTGTGGGAATTGGTTGTTAAGCAGAGCGAAGGCGTTCTGGGGGAAAAACTGTTGATCAATCTATATGATGCCCCTACTAAAACCCTACTTTCTCTCCCCCCCCCCCCCAAAAGGGGCCTTGCTCTCCAGGCCCGCCGAGCAGCCGGCCCAGAGGATCGACCACTACTTGTCCGCCTTCCCCTGGTTCCACGGCCCCATCTCGCGGGTGAAGGCCGCCCAGCTGGTCCAGCTGCAAGGCCTGGAGGGACACGGGGTCTTCCTCATCCGGCAGAGCGAGACCCGCCGGGGGGAATACGTGCTGACCTTCAACTTCCAAGGCAAAGCCAAGGTGAGGAGCCGGCTGCGCTTCCCTCCTCCCCCCCCCCCCCCCCCCCCCCCCGAGGGAGCTCAGATTGGCAGCCTTTACCCCAATTGGCGCTACGTCTCCCAGCCGATTCTGCTTAGGAGACGGGCCCAACCGTCCTTCCTTTGGAAACACATGCAGTCCTCGACTTACAACAGTTCGCTTAGTGACCGTTGAGTTACAACGGTGCTGGGAAAGGAAATGGACTTACGACCGTTTTTTCACACTTCTGGCCGTCGGGAGTTCGTTCGCGTGATCTGAATTCAGACGCTTGGCAACTCCTATTTACGACGGTTGCAGCGTCCCGAGGTTACGCGATTTCCCCTTTTGAAATCTTCTGACAATGAGGAAGCCAGATTCGCTTAACGAGCGGGTTACTAACTTAACAACGGCAGTGACTCACTTAACAACCGAGGCAAGAGAGGTGATAAAGCGGGACAAAACTCACTGAATCAATGGCTCGCTTAGAGATAAGAGGTTCCATTGTGGCCGTAAGTCGAGGACTACCTGTAAGGACTTTGGGCTAAAAAGGAATCCCGATGCAGAGCTGCTGAGATAAAGCTTCTAGTCCTCATGAAGGTCTAGAAGCCAGGGAAGTAGAAAGTAGGGTTCCTAGCGGGGGCGAAGGACTCGTTCCTTGCTCTGGCTGTGCCGCGGTGGTGGTGGTGGTGGGGAGGATCTGGGGGGTGCGAAGGGTAACGTCTCTTGTGGGTTTTCCGGCAGCACCTGCGGCTTTCCCTGACGGAGCGGGGCCAGTGCCGAGTTCAGCACCTGCACTTCTCCTCCATCCTAGACATGCTGCATCACTTCCAGCACTGCCCCATCCCCCTCGAGTGCGGCACGGCCTGCAACGTCCAGCTCTCCCGGCACGTGGTGGTCATCCCGCCCCTTCAAGGTAAGAGTTCTCCGGCCAGGACCCTTTGACCCCCCCGGCCTCCCCCCAGGCTGGGGTTTCTGCCCCCACCAGGCCCAAAGCTCAGCCTTTCCGCTGCAAAGCCCCCTTGGAGCTTAATGGAGCCCTCGGATCAGCCATCTAAATCAGGGGTCTCCAACCTTGGCAACTTGAAGACTTGGGGACTTCAACTCCCAGAGTTCCTCAGCCAGCAAAGCTGGTTGAGGAACTCTGGGAGTTGAAGTCCCCAAGTCTTCAAGTTGCCAAGGTTGGAGACCCCCTGGTCTAAAATTATCCCAGGCAAATCAAAATATAGGAAGTCCCCCATTTACGACTCTAATGGAGCTACCCTGTATGGTCGTAAGTTGTGACGGTTGTAAAGCCCCCTTCCTTCCTTTGGATCCGCAGCCTCCGGCCACCCAGCCGCCTTCCCTCCATCCGGCCACCACTGCACGCCTGAGGTCAGCTTTGTCCAGCTGAATCCGGCCGGCTGCCCCCGGATCCGCCTGGCCGACAACCTTCGCCGCCACTCCGTGGAGCAGATCTTCCACCTGGTGCCCCCTCCCGAAGAACTGGCCAGCAGCCTCCAGCACAGCCCCAGCCAGGCCGCCCCGGCCCCTTCGCCTGCGGCCCGTCAGTGGGACAGTGACTACGAGATGGACGTGCAAAGCAGGCACACCTCCGGGCGGTCAGCACCAGTACACCTCCCTCTGACGCAGCTGGGGGAGCTCCCCACCACCACGGCGTTGGCCCAGGACGCTGAATGTCCCTGCCGGAAACTCGGCCCTTCCAGCTGCATTTCGTCTTTGGAAGGGCGTCCGCTCTCTTCCGGGTGCAGCTTTTCCATCAGGATCCCTCGGCCTGCGTGTTTCCCCCCCCGTCTCTCATCGGTTTGCACGTCTTCCTTTTCCATTTAGCCTTTTTGTTTGTTTTTTGGTGGTACCTGCCAGGTTTAGAGTGGCCAGTTGGGGTGTCCAGATGCCCTTGGATAACAACACCCGTTAAAGGCAAATTCCTCTCGTTTGGCTGTGGCAACGCAAACGCAAAGCCAGCACTTTCAGTTCCAGATCAAAACCAACCCCACTCCCTTCCTTCCTTCCTTCCATTCCTCCTTCCTTCCTCCCTCCCTCTTCCTTCCTTTCTTCCGTTCCTTTCATTTCTCCTTCACTCCCTCCCTTTCCCTTCCTTCTTTCCCTCCCCTCCCCCTCCCTCCCTCCTTCCCTTCCTTCTGGGTCAAGATGTCCCCCTCTGGCTGCGAAGGCATTTCAGAAGCTGCTCCTTCCCTTTTAAAAACCCTGAGAAAAATCGCTTCCACCCCTTTAAAATAACTTTAAACAAACCAGGAAGGCTGCCTTAAAACCAGCATTTCAGAAGCTCAGGAGTCGCCCCATTGTGGCCTTTTCCACGGAAGCACAACATTGCTAGCCCCTCTCTTTTGCAAAGAGCTGCTCCCCGGCCTTGTGTCGGCCTACGTCAGAAGTCGAAAACCTAATTTGGGAGGGGAGGGGAGGGGGGGAAATGCACAAACGGCTACAGGGATGTGCTCTCAGAATCAAAAGTCGACGTTGTTAAGGACTTTTTATTTCGGTGCGTTACGGATTTCAATTCTTGTTTTCCCTTCTGGTGGGCTAGGGAGGCCTGGGCAAAGGAGGCGATGTGGGCCCAGGGCTGTTACAGGAGGGGGAACTTCCTAGTTCCCATTGTGGGACCGAACGTACCTCGGGGAGGAACTGTAGGCTGCAAAACAGCCACCACAAATCATCTTAATCTAGCTGTCAGCAGGAAGCTGGAAGGCAAAAGGGGAAGTGATAAGCCTGTTCAGGGTTGCCATCCCTTAACCAAACAGAGGAAGTTGAAATGGCTGTTTTCTGCAAGGAGTTGGACTTTCGAGACAAGTTCAAACTCGCAGTGCCCGGAGAAGGCCAACAAACACCTGGCCTGTGGTGGTTGGGTTTGGGTTGGTTTTTTTAGCCAATTCACACGTGCCTTTCACTGGAAGTGCCTTTTATCTAATCAGTGGCTCAACCTGGAAGGAAGTTTGGCTGGAAAGCCCCAGGAACTGCCAGGGGTGAACCTTGCAGCCCCTCCCTTGCTCTGTGATCCCACCAAACAGCTAATGGAGAAGCTCCCTTGGAGCAAGAGGGCGCCAGGTAGGCAGGGCGAGGTATATTGAATTAAGCCTGAAATTTAATTTCGGAGCAACATTAGCCACGTAAAAGAGCAGTGGGCTTCAATTCTGGGAGTTGGAAGTCCACCTATCTTAAAATGGCTTGAGAAACAGAGCAATGATGATTTGATTTCCCTCTCTGGTGCATTGCTGCATCTCTAAACACCCAACAGAGCCTCAAATAGAGGCCAACCAAACCACCACGAGATCTGAGCCTCAACCATTTGGGTTCCAACTACTTTGTACTGCCTTACAGGGTTTCAAATTCAGTCCCTTTCCTTGCTAACAAGAGATCATCATCTTTCAGAGATTCTTTTGTGTTTAAGATAATACATGGAGTTCCAAAGCTTTCTGGACAATGGGAACAAAACCTCGCTTTCTAAACCCACAAACACCCGGGGGGGAGGGGGGGTTGGAAACGGGGGGCCTCGGGGAGAATGGAACCCAGGGTCTCCAAACTTTGGCCACGTTAAGACTTGTGGGCTTCAACTCCCAGAATTCCTTAGCCAGCTGGGGAATTCTGGGAGTTGAAGTCCACAAGGGGCGTTTGGAGACCCCTGGTTTAAGAGACTGACCTCTGCACTCGGAGGACTGTCCAGTTGTACTCCACGCGGGAGACGAGGGGCAGATGGGTGGCGGAGATGCCACCTGCAGAAGTTAGAGAAGTTCTTTGGCCTCCTGCGGGTTTGAGCCTTGCAATCCGAGAGGTTGGGCCTCTGCAGGGACAGAAGCCCACCCAGGATGAGGTGGGTTCCACAGCTTGGTTCTTTCAAATTATACATTTGAAAATAATAAAGAAAACCAAATTGGACTTTTGAGGAAGAAAACCGTGTGTTCTTTTTCAGCCTCTCCGCTCACTTACAGAGAAGTCTCTTATCTGGTTCTCGTCCCTGGCAAATCCTGCTAAGAGGTTCAGACGTGCTCCTTCCTTAAAAGAAAAGTATTCAGAGGTGTTCATGGCTGGTTCTAGGATCTCTTTAATCCTCCCCTCTTCTCAGGCGCTCCTGTTGGCTGAATCTCAACAAAAGATGCTTTCTATGCTAAGAGCAAAGATTAAGGCAGTCGCCTCTCTTGGGAGAGGAAGTTTCCTAGCATTGATAGTATAAATTTGACCTAAGTTGCAGAGCAATGTCTTCCTTGTGGGTCTGAAGGCAAAGCTGCTCAACCAGGTGCCCAAGTGTTTGGAGAAAGGGGGAAAAAAAGGAAGAGAAAGAAAAAGGAAGAGGGGGAGGGAGAGAGAAAGGAAAGGAAGGGGAACCAAATAGACCACACAGATGCCAGCAGGATAGGTCAGTTTTTAAAACTTTTTTTTATTTTTATGATTATTTTTTTAGTTTTTATTTTATATTATCTACAAAGTAAGTTTTCCTCTTAACTTAAAAGTTAGACCGCTGCCTTGGGACGGCAGTTCTCTTTCCCTCTCAAACATGATTTTTTTTTTTTATAAATAATAAATCCATATCCATTTGACCATTAGATTTCTTTCCCCCCCACAAAACCTCTTTTTAAGTTTAGTTAGTGGGGAAAAGGGATTTTTGTTTTAGAGTCTTGATTTTTCATAATTACTATTTGCTATTTTATTTTTTTTTAGTGAGAACAAGCAACAAGACTCGCCTCTCGTTCTTGTTCTCTTAAGCTCAGGAATCCGTAACTCTGAAGGGCTGTTTTAAAAAATAAATAGCTTTTCCAGTTTTTTTTTTCCTGCAAGCGAACTGGGGGGGGAGGGGGGGTTTAGTTTCTTTGACACAACACATCATGGAATCGTCCCCCCGAGGGATCGACAGGCCTTTGCCTCGGTCCAAAAATTCTCCCACGGAAAGCTTGGAAACGATTTAGCTTTCCTACCGGATGGGAAAACCTCGGCTTTGGGTGGGTGGGGTGTTTTTTTTTTTTTTTTTTTTTTTTTTTTTGCTCTCCCCTTAAAAATAAGTGAAATACTAAGGTGGTTTTTTTTGTTTGTTTTTGTTTCGTTTTGCTTTTGTTTCTGTGCTTCCAAGTTGGATGAAGCAGGAGAAGAAAGAAAGGAATTTGGCCTTTTTTTTTTTTTTTAAAAGAGAAAACAAAAAGAGGGATCCAGCCTCAGTTACTCCGGGTCAGCTTTACAACTGCTGTTGATGGTGAGTGGGAACTGGAAGAGAGAGAGAAAGAAAAAATAAAAATGGGGGAAAAAACCCCAAGAAATGTTGGAAGATCTAAATGGGAGGAACCACTCAAAGCTCTTGAATTTCTCGACCGTCTTCTCTTGAACACGGGTGGACTTCAACTCCCAGGAAATGGTTGGCTGGGGAACTCTGGGAGTTGAAGTCCACCCATCTTCAAGAGGCCAAGGTTGAGAAAAAAACTTAAGTCTCTCTTGGTCAACAGATGGTGTCTTCGGACCTTCTCCCAGCCCAATCTCCCTCCTTTCCTCAACCCTTATTCAACGGCCGGGGGAAGGGCAGGTGCCACTGATGGAAACCCATCTTCCCAACCTCAAGAGGGCTCTCGGGCAACGATGCCCACAAGGCACCTTCTTTGACCCACTTCTCGTGCCATCTTCATGTCAGGCATTAACAAAGCAGGGACTGGTGGTGGTGCCTGGCCGGCCTCCCTCCCTCCCTCCCTCGGCTGGATGCAACCTCTCGTACTCCTGGCTTCCTTGCCGGCTAGGCCAACGGCGCAGGGCTCACCTGAAGGGTGTGTCATATAGGGGAAGTGGGTGGCGGTCGACACTGGAATGTGCTGCAGTGCACTCTGGGCGATGGCCTGGGGTCCGCCGGGCGGTGGCTGCGTCGTCATGAGCATCACTGGAGCATGGGTTGGGGGGTGGGAAGGAGCCATGCCTGACTGCACATGGGCCTGGAACAAAGGGTGAGGCCGTCAGGAGACCCCCCTCGTCTGTCTGGGGACCCTCGAGGGACACAATCTCCCCCCCCACCCCGACCCACAAGCACTCCTGCTCTCTGTCCTGGGTTAAAGAGGAATCTCCGTCGTGACTCGCGGTGGGGCTGCTACCTGCCGATCCAGGTTCTACAAGGGGCTTCATTCCCTCAGGGATGGCCAGTGATGGGGCAAGGGGTCCAGGGTAATCTCCCCCTCCACTTCCTCCTTGCCCCTTAAGCAGCAGGCACGTAAGGAAGGCCGGAGCGGAGAAAGGAGATTGGAAAGCAGGAATTCACCCATCTTGCCCCACAAACTCAGCTCTACACCCAACTTAATCTCCTCCTGTCGGGCCCCCGTTTCTCCCAAGACCCTCGGCGCTGGGAGGAGCTTCTCAGGTGGGCCCAAGTCCTGGGACGGCACTCCTGGCAGGGCCGGCCACAGCCAGGTGGGTCAAAGCCCCTTTTTCCAAAAGCAGCCAAGACGGGGAGGGCAAAGGGGCCCGGCGAGACCTCGGAGGAGCTGGGCTACCTGGGGGACGTGGGCCATGTGGGGCGGGTTGGTGTAGGCAGGCTGGACATGGGACGGATGGATGGCGAAGACGGTCTGTTGGGCGGTCGGGAAGCTGCTCTGCGGAGACTGGGCGCTGGAGCCGGGCGTCATGGAGGGAGGCGTCGGGGCCAGGCCGGTGTGGTAGAGGGCCGACTGCTGCTGGGCGTTGGTCAGGTGGAGGGCCTGGGCCGCCTGGTGCTGGTGGGCCTGCGGAGAGACGGCCAGGAGGATGCGTCACGCAGCGAGACAGCTAGTCCTCGACTTAGGACCAGAATTAGGAGCAGCGTGGTTGTTAAATGAGCCACACCTTATTTTATTACCATTTTTTGGGGGGGGCAGGCGAATCACTGCAGTTGTTGTTAAGTGAATCGCATGGTCATTAAACGAATCTGGCTTTCCCCGCTTACTCGTCAGAAGGCCACAAATGGGGATCACGTGACCCCCTCCCCACCCAGGACATGCAACCGTTGTAAATACACACATTTTCAGTGCTATGTAACTTTGAGCGGTCACTAAATGAATGGATGCTGTAAGCCGGGAACTACCCATATCGGACAGGCGTTCCTCCGAGTGTTTGGCCCCGCTGCCCACTCCTGCTGGGGCCCCTGCCCGTTCCCCCCTTCCCTTCCCCCACAGGCCGCCCAGGGAAGCACTCACCTGCACCGGGCTGGGGGCCGGGTGGCTGCCCCCATGCTGCGTCTGTTGCTGCCCCGTGGGGGTGGCCGACTGCTGCGGGTGTGGGCTGTGGGGGTGCAGGGTGGCACTGGGATGGGCGTACTGCTGAGCGAGGGAACCGGTGGAAACTGGATGGGGGGAGAGAAAAGAGGGATGGGCAAAGGTCTCCCGTCCTTTCAGGCGGTCACTTCCCCCCTCCCGCCTTCGGGGGTTGACATCCTCCTCCATCTCAAACATGATGGGGGTCTCTGCCCCTTGGCTTCACCCTCCCACTGCTTCTCTGTGCACGGAGGAAGATGGGGAGGGGGGCTTCCCTGGTGAGGCTGCCAGCAGTCTTAAGGCGGACAATGGCTCTGCAGACCCCACCACCAAGGGGTCAAATACCCCCAATTCCCCGTCCTTCAAGCTAATGCTATTCGCTGAAGTACCCTCCTGGTGTCCTTGGGCAGGGGTCCTTCACAGCTCAGGGTTTCTCGACCACGGCAGCTTGAAGATGGGTGGACTTCAACTCCTAGGACTCCAGGAAGTCCACCCGTCTTCAAGCTGCCGTGGTCGAGAAACGCTGCTCTAGACTGGACCACACCAAGGTGTGTCTCTAACTTCCAGTTTATCCCAAAGCCAAACTGCTTTGGACACCCCCCACAGGACAAAATCCTGGCTTGCCGCCCCCCAAACCCCTTCCTTTCAGACCGACGAGGCATCCACCATTTGCAGTAAAATCTGGCAGGGAGAGAAACTTGCTGATGTAGCCCTCCAGCCACCACCACGTCCCTCCTCTGGGGAAGGAGAACCCAAAAACGCCCCACAGGGAAACTGCACAGGAGAAAAATATTTGGATTTAACTTCCTAGTCTGCTAGACACCCCAGAAAAAAAAAGGGGGGGGGCAGAGGGGCACAGGCCAGGCCTTGAGAGACCCAGCCCCCCCTGAAACTGATGTCTCAAGGAAGCAGTTCGGAGGCTTAATTCTGCACGAGGAGGAGGAGAAGTGAAAAACTGACGGTCAGCAAAAAAAATGGAGAAGAAAGGGAAGGAAAAGAGAAAGTCAGAAAAAAATCCTGCAAAAGCTCTGAGTAGCTACTCCGAGGTTGGGGGAGGGGGGGTGGAGACGGAGAAAGGCTAATTGTGCAACAGACACCGGAGCCTAAGAACGGGGTGAAAGGAAGCAGCCCAGTTCCACTGGAATGCCAAAAGGGAGCTCGGAGGAACCCCTGACCACCGTTCAGGCAGGAGACGGCCAAACTCGGTTAGATGATGGTCAAGATCTTTGCCTGAAAGGCAGAAAGCTCGGCCCTCTTTCCCAGCATAAATGGTCCGGGGCAGGGGTGGGCAACTACAGCCCCTTTATGACCTGGGGACTTCA